TTTTCAGGCTTCTTCTTTCCAGTTGCTTAAATTGGAAAATTAACTGCGATGATCATTCTTCACTTTCAAACAGGAGTTTTGTTGATTATCTCAACTTTAGTGATAACAACTCCACACATACATGTGAATAGTCCCGTTGCATGATCCTGTCTCAACATTTAGACAGCTAATAAATAAGAAAAGGAAAGAAACCGTTATTTACAGGTGTGGTAGAGGCTTTTAATAGTAAGTTATGAACAAGTCAGTCCGCGCCACGATTTTTTGTCCAAATGAAATTTGTAGAGTTTTGTATGGGAATGCCATACAGGTGCCCCTCAGAGGGGCACCATTGAAATTTGCTATTAACTGCAAAAAGTTATTTCTCCAGAGCTCTGATATATTGATGTTTATACTTCGTCTAATGTAAGGAATGTTCAGTAAGCAAAAACCTTACGAGATAAGTTATCTATTGACCTACGCGACATCCTTTTTGGGCCACCATTTTTTACAGTCACGAAACTCAAAAGCTTGGAAATCCAAAGCGTTCTATTACATCTATTCTATCTAATGAAGCTAAAACCTCGAAAAAAAATTGGTAGGTTTTTTAGTTTGAAATATGGCAACGTCACCTGAAAACTGCCAATTTTACACGAGCTTCACCCAAATGTTTACGGGAGCTTTTGAAAGCTTCTAAAAGGAAAAGGTTACTCAGGGAGCTCCTGTAAAATAAGTGAGAGTGCATCATGGAATTTCCGGCTCTCGAGAAACGAATTAACGAGGTCGTAACAATGGAAATTTTGTTTTCTTGACCCACGATCCAGAGATCTCAAAATGGCACTACATGTATATGAAATATTTTATCAAACACGAGAGGCAGAGTTTGAAAAACACCGTGTAAAAAGTTGAAAATACGGAGCGCAGCGGAATATTTTTTAGGAATTGTGACAGAATTGAGATTGTGATGAAACATTTCCTCGATTGTTTAGTACTTAACCCAAATCACGGACACCAGAGAAGTAAAATCGGCATAATCAGTACCCGTCAAGAACTCAATTGAAAACAGCGTCACCTCGTCGGTTCTTTTGTTATTAAGGAGCTACGTCGCGGTTTGCCCATCTTGAAAAGTTTAGCCTAAAATTGTCAAGTTCGTCGTTTCTAATCCGTGTTAATCTTCTCCAAACTTAACTATCATTATTCCTTTATGTTTTATTACAATCTCTTTGGTGTTTTACTATCTTAGTTAACTATTTTCAAGTTTCCTTCAATTTAAGGTAGTTTTGTACGTTATTGAGCTCCTTCAGTGTTTTGAATTATTGAGAGTGAAGTGTTCAGCTAGACGGATCATAAAACGTCCAATTCCTTTGACCGGAATTACGTCACCCCCCCCCCCCCCCCCCCGCCTCCCCCTCAACTCATCATCCCCTCACTACCAGCAAAGCCTTCGCTGCACGAAAATTATACGTGCATGGGGAATATAAGAGTAAAGATGGGCAACAAAAGGCTCTTAGAAATGTTATCGGTAATAAACATATAAGCCAAAGTTTCATGAAAAACCGACATTTATTTCGGTTATTTGTATTTAACACGACAAAACCTTTTTATAAATAACAAAACTTCGTAATTGTGAATGTGTTTATGCATCCTTTACTTTCTAGCGGTGATTTTCATTGCAATGCTTGGTAATATTAAAAAAAGTGATGACCTTATTTATATCTTGCATTACAGTCCACCGCTGTAGATTGTGAAAACATTTAAATAACAGTAGCAGTAAAAACTAGCTCAAGTCTACTGAAAATCACCCCAATAACTGAAAAATCTAGCGTTCTAACTGAGACCCCATCCACACTACGCCGGAGAAATTTAAAAACGTAACAATCTCCGGTCTTTGGATTTGTGTTTGAGGAAAACTCGGTCAGGTAAAATCAATTGTTTATCGTGACGTCATCGTTTTTCGAAAGGCTCCGTTTTCGTGACGGATT